TTGGTCAATGCAGACCAGCAGTTGCCTGAATTGCCGCAACAGAGTCTGTCACAAAGACCCACGTGCTCCAAAATGCATCGATGCACCACTTTTGTTATACTTGTGGACGGAAGTGTCCTCGTCCTTACAATTGTTATGGTGCCAGGCAGAAACAGCTTTATTTTCCAGGTGTTTTAAGAACTAATTAAATACTATTGAATTAATTTTAGGTTTTAGTTGATTGGTTAAATAAAACAATTCCTTTGATGATTTATCCACTATCCTGACTGAAGTTAAATTTTGCTCAAATACTGTGAGGCAGTCTTATTAATATTAGTTAATGGTTTTAATAGTTTTTAAAAATATTTTAATCACTATGTATTGTATAATTTATATGATATTATTGATTGATGTACACTGCCCAAAGAGTCCTGTTTGGGACTACTGGATGCTTATTTATAAATCAAATACATTAAAAAAATAAAATAATCTCCAGCCACTGTCTTGGATTGTGCACAGTGACATCCGGATTGTGATTAGGGATCTGTGAGGAATCTTTTTTGGGGGTGGGGATCCACCGGATTTCCTGGGCTCATCTCCCCAGATTCTGAGCTGCAATGAGCAAGCACAGCCAGAGAAGAGTCCCCCTTCCACACATGTGTGCTTGTGATGTACGTGCTGCAGAAGGAGGTTGCTGGTTGCACACCTGGAGTTCTACAAGTGTATGCGGACTTCCTCTTGGCCAAGCAACAGAAGAAGGCCAATGGTGAGGGCCCAGCAACAGAAGAAGGCCAATGGACAGAAAAGGGCTGGATTCCAGAGAGGATGGTTGCAAGCTAAGCAAGGCTGAAGAGCTAACGCACTTCTGGCTTTCTTCCAACGATGTTCACATTGCTCAGACTGGCATTAGCCATTGCCAACCTTATTCTTGTATAAAACAAAACAATCAGCCAATGCGCGACCTCAAATTAATTTCTATAAAGCGATTGCACAGATTCCAAAGATGTCACCAGGAAGCCACCAATATTGCACTGAGCTGATACTTAACAGGGCACACCATGTTGGAGTGGGCAGAGCTGAATCCTCTGGCTAAACAAGTGCAAGGGCGCAATCTGTGACGAATTCTTTTGGAGTCGACAGATGCTATTAGCAATTAAGAATCGTTCCTCAGGACCCTTCTCAGGATCAGGGTGAATCTGGAATCGATCCAGGAATGATCACGGGTTTCAACTAACAATTCAGATGAAGGTCACATCTCAGTGGTGGGTGGAGCCTAATGCAAAGGGGGGGGGGGCTAAAATGCCACCAATGCCAGTATATTCTAGCTTAAAGCTTTTGCTGCCCATAACAAAACCCTAGGAGGGATATTCAGTGTTTGTGGACTAGGATGGGGAACTGCACAAGACCTGAGGGATCATGAAAGTGCGGTGAGGGGAAAAGGGGCCAAGGTCATGCAGAGCCGGGGGAACCATCTAGGGAACCCCCAGAAGACTATACTGGGGTCCTAGGCAGGGTGGATTTGACCCCTGGCCATAGGTGCTACATGGACTTGTCTGCCTTCATTCGCCATGTGGAACCTCAGCACACAGAATCTGGGAGAAGCCATAGCAGAGAGATGCTCTGTGTTCATCTCCTGTCCATGGACTTTCCTGTGGCATCTGATTGGATGCTGTGGGAAGCAGGATGCCATGGACTTGCTCTAGCAGGGCAATTCCTACGGCATCTAATAGAGCAAATGCTTGTCCTTCTGGATGTAAATCTCATGAATTTACATGCGCTTGAATATACGACAGCTACAAACATTCCGATTAATTAAGTGGTTAACCGTGGGTGCATCAGGCCAGGTCGTTTGGCTAACATCAGCCTCTCCCCTCCCCTCACCTCAGCTGCCCTCTGTTTTATGTCTTCTTTAAGGCAGGGTTGATTTCTCAGCATTATGAGATTCCCAAATGTTCCTTCTCTGCCAAGAGCTCATTCTCTCATTCCAAGGTATTGCTCAAGCAAGGAAGGAACTCATGTACAGTTGCCGGCAACAGCACCAGCACTGCTTTAAGAAGCTTTTATAAATCAATGAGAGTGCAAACTGGGCATGCAAAGCACGTTGCTGGTTGCAACATCAGGCCTGGCAGCTCCCAGCAAGTCTGCGGCCAGAACACGCTACCTGCCGTCCAGCAACATGCACCTACAGGAAAAGGGACGGAAGGTTCCTCGCAGAACCTTGTGTTCTGCAGAGGAGTTCAAGCCAGGTTGCCAAGATGACCCGGCTGACCTGTGGAGTCAAGGAATTAGCCCCCCTCCCCAAGGCCTGCAGCTGTCCTCCGGGAAATAAAGACTCAAGCAGAGAAGCGCATGCACAGATGCAGAAACATTAAGTCCCAGGGCCTGAAGGCAGGGAAGGGTGAATAAGGGAGTTTTGCATGTATCAAGTCTGCCCTTTTCCCAGCCTGATGCTCATTTTGCCGCCTCCTTGCTCCTAAAAGATGACGCCTCTGTATAGGTTTCTCTTCTTTTCCCTTGAATGGCAAAAATGTGCATTTTCAAACATGGAAAAGTGCAGTCTTCCAAGCATGCAAGCAAATGTGCACTTTCCTCCCATTAATTAAAGCATGAAAATGCATCCTTTGTGGGAAACGTGGGTTCTACCTCTGACTTTTTCCAGAAGGATATACTTTGCAAAAGGGATTGATTGCAAGCCTGCAAATGTGCAAACTTTCCCCGAAATCACATGCACAGTGGCACTTGTGTTCAGGGTTGCAAGCAGTGCATTCTCCTTAATTTTTCAAATATGAAATCAAACCCTGTACATCTCTAGTAGGAGGACTCTAGTCCTTTTGCACGTAACAACGGTCCCCCAGTGCTGACAATCACACAGAATGCAAACAGCCCCAGGGCATCTTCACCTGCAGCCATCACTATAAAGGTAAAGGTTTTCCCTTAACATGAAGTCCAGCCATGCCTGACTCCAGGGGATGGTGCTCATCTCCATTTCCTAGCCGAGGGAGCCAGCGTTTGTCCGCAGACAGTCTCCGTGGTCATGTGGTCAGCATGACTAAACACCCGAAGTGCACGGAATGCTGTTACCTGCCCACCGAAGTGATACCTTTTTATCTACTTGCATTTGCATGCTTTCGAACTGCAAGGTTGGCAGGAGCTGGGACAGAGCAACAGGAACTCAACCCGTTGCGCGGATTCGAACCGGCAACCTTTCGATCAACCAGCCCAGCAGCACAGCAGTTTAAGCCACTACGCCACCTGCATCCCAACCATCAGTATATGCAGATATGAAACTACCCTTGGTCCATGGCTTATAGCAGGCTGGGAACTCCCAAAGGACCAAACTTGAGGTATACAAGACATATGCTCTTTCATTAAGGTGCAGGTTTTCCATCCATCTATGCATTCAAAATGGACACATCTCTCAACATTGGCTTCCTTACATTTCTCACTTTTTAAAGTTTTGGTTCATTTCATCCTGTTTGCAGGTCAGTTTGAGATTGTTATTTTTAAAAGGCCACATGGAAGTTGTCACAGCTCAGTTGCATGGAGGGCTTCTCCCACTGGGAAGGAGCAGCCAAGTGGCCGAGGGTGCAGTGCTGACTGGATCATCTACCTGGTGCATTGCTTGGTGGCTTCTCCTGCCCTGCACTTTCTCTCACAGGGTGAGGACCTGGGGCAGACAAAGCAGAGCTAGCTGGCTCCCTCCTTCCTAGCAAGAGCTGGTGATGTGCAAGCCACCACACCCAAGGGGGATCCTGTTGTTATTTCCTATCTGTGGTGGGAGATAACAAGGGGATTCTCTTGCTCTCCAACCGCAAATGGGGTGTAACAAGGGGATCCCATCCCCTGTCTCCTTCCCATGGTCTGCAGGAACCTCTAGACCATATAAAGCTCCTTTGGGAAGGTGGGAAGTCGCACAGCTAGAGTCCTTTCCTCCCTTTTGTCACCATTAAAACTCCCTGCTCTCTGCCAAAAATTGTCAGCCAGGCAGCCCAAATATTCTGTCCGAAGAACAGATCACACTGAGATTTCTCTCCAATACTCCCACCTCAGGCTGTGCCACTAACTGCATGACTTAATCTAATTTTGATTCCAGTTTGTTGTCTTCAATTACAGAGAAGCGATAAAGACAGAATGCAGGCCAGGTTTTACAGTGAAACTGAGAGCAAACCCGTTTGTTCCTGAAAACATGTTTTCTGGCTTCGTTTTGGAAGAGAATCAATATGTGATGTGATGAAATTCATCTAAAATGTCATTCCTCGTCTTTATGCTTATGTTACACAGCCTTCTCTAAGCAAGTGCCCTTCCAATCCCTTACTGGGAGGCTCCCAGTAAGCCCCAGCTAACCTGACTGATGGTCAGGACTTCTGAGAGTTGTACTCCCAAACATCTGATGGGAGGCAGATTTGGAAGGTAGATTTACAGATTACAAGGTAGACATCATCCTCATCATCATCATCATCATCCAACTGATCCATCTAACAGAGCCGTTCATTTCAATGCATGGTGTGCAGGAGAGTTTTCTGAAGGATTGGCCCAAGTCTACACACAAACACGATTTAATTGTCTAGGGATTAGAGGGATTAGTTAATTGTCTAGAGGCTAATAAAAGGCTAATAAAATGGTAAACTTCCCAAGCTTGTGCATCCAATATTAACAAGGAATCATTTGTACTCTGAACTGCAGTGACCAATCATTGTTCACTTACAAATATGTAATACAATTATGTTGTTATATACTAAGCAGAAGTCGGGAGACATTGGATGTCAGTAGCTCTGATCTGAGCTCTTTGGAAGGAGAGCAGACAAAAGTGGACAGGTGTGGTGCCTTCAGGGCATACACCTTCTTCAGAAGATCACAGGTGCAATTACAATCATGTCTGATTCATTTATTCCTAGGCAAAATCATACAACATTCATCATAGATTCTGAAACAGAAACAATCGCCCAGATAATGACTTCTTAGCAGAAACCAAGAGAGAGGGAACATATATATATATATATGTTCTGTATAACACATCTTACCAGACCATCGCAGTTGCTAACAGCGACAGACGCTCCTGGGATATCCACAACATCTCCAACATAAGCACAGTCGGTCCACAGTGATTCCTTTTTCCATATCCTTTCTGTGATGGTCTTCGTCTGGCCCAGGCTAGCACCATCAGTTACATTTCTGGCTCCCGCAGAATCTTCGTACCACTCCACCATGGCCCCTGGAGCAATTAGGCGTGCGTTAGGTCTCAGTCGAAGGTGGAATTCCTTCCCAAAAGCAGACACATTAAAATACAATTGTTTGGGGCTCGGTGATACATCCCTTATGGATCTCCTTGAATGGCTTGCAGAAACAAGGTTGGAGATGTAGCTTCCATCTGCCCTGGTGCTGACTGGGGTTGTTAGGACATACTGCTTCAGTTTAGTTTTGGAAGTTTCTGTTCAAAACAAAGAGGAAGCAAAGTAGTTCAGTGTCAAAAAGAGAAAATGTAGCCATCAATTTAGCATCTCATCAGAAGCCAAGATGGGCCCCACGGGACCAGAGCAATGGCCTCCCTGAACGAGCTTTCTGTTGGTCTCTTAGCTTCCCAGATGCTTCTGAGAAGTCCACAAGAAGGCACTGTTATTTAGAGGTACACTTCCTTTGAACAAGGAGACTCCAGAACTATGGATAACCTTCCAGACTTTCCCTAATCCTCTTTCAAAGTTTTCGAATCCATCCTCCTCAAAAAATAAGCCTTGATCATGCTTTGCCATCACACAACGGCCTGCCAGGGATTGTAATTCACCAGCAGAGCCCTCCCTTCACAGGCAAATTTATCTGGGAGCAATCGAAGTTGGGATCAGAAAAAATCCTCCCTGAAATCCTGGAAAGCTGCTGAAAGTCACTATTAGCAGTCCTGGGCAGATGGACCAGTGACCTGACTCGGTAGAGGGCCATGCCTGAGCACTCCTTGGAAAACAGTGGAATTCAGTGCACAGACGCCACACCATGGGTGTGATTCCTAAGAGGACCAAGAACAGGAATCCCAGAGAATTCAGGCCACTGTGTGTACCTTCCAGCCAGGACAAAACTGAGTTACAGGTGCAAGGAGGTGGATGCTGGTTGAGAGAATCCTTCTTGCATTTTAAGCCCTGCATGACTTAGATAAAACACTGTATCTCAAGCACCACAGACAACGTGTGTGTGTGTCAGTCCACACAAGCAAGAGTGCGTTTCTCCAGTCACCACTGAACACACTGAAGTGCACAGTCTTCTACAAGTCTCTTTGTGTGGATTTCTTTCCCATCATCTCCAACTTATGGCAACCCTATGAATGGAAGCCCTCCAAAATGTCCATTCCATGACGGTTCCACTCAGCTCTTCTAAGTTCAAGGCTGTGGCTTCCTTTATGGGTTCGGTCCATCTCCTATTTGGATCTTTTCTTTCAGCTTCCTCCTCTGGCTTTCCCTAACACGATTGCCTTCTCCAGGGAGTCTTGCCTTCTCATGATGTGTCTACTCACAGGCAAGTCCCTGCCACGTCAGTGGGGCTTCTTAGGAGATAAATGGCTATAGGTCTCTAACTCTAGACAGTGGGTTAGGAGGTGGCTGGGAGGGCACCAGCCTCCAAACAGACATTTTGGGAGGGCACCAAACAGACATTTCCCTGAAATGCTGAACCTCTTTTGACCCAGTCATCAATTTCCTTTTTGCAGAACCACCGGGAGTCACATTCCCAGTGACAGGCAGGGAGAAAGACAAAACAAGGAGGAACTATGATTTGGTTTAAAACTTTGAACGCTGGTTACTTTTTCTTAGGGAAGCATTTCCAATTTTCTGAATGGGGTGACTTCAAAAAAGCCAGGAAACCCCCAAATGATTAGTGAGCAGGGAAAAGAGAGCACATCCATGAGCATCCGTGCCCTACAATGCTGATCCATTTCCTTTCTTCTTTAAGTTTCACTGGGAAATAGTTTTTGAAGACCAAGATGAAGGAGGAAGGGTTACTATCTCTTGATTTCAGCACATGGGGGCAAGGAGGTACATTTGCTTATTGCAAGGGAAGAGGTAGGAATAAATATGAGGATGAGGAAGGGGACAAGGAGGAAATGGAGGAGAAGAAGGAAAGGAAGGCAACACTAACAGGTTGTCTGCAGTTGGAAAAGTCCTCTTCACGATTTGTGAATACAGAAGTGAAAAGGAGGGGATTTTTTTAAGAGTTCAAAGGCAATTAAAGTTAAAAGTGATGTGCTGAAACACTGTAGACATCCAAACTTTTCAGCTGACTTCCTTCACCCTTTTTCCAGAGTCTAGCATTTATGGAAATGCCATTTCAACTGTCAGCAGTGGAATGGATCTTTTGGTTCTCCAGCAAACTCACACACACACACAACCTGGAACAACCCCCCCGCCGCCACACACACACACACACACACACACACACACACACACACACTACCTAGAACTCTCTGGGTTCGCTCATTTGGAACCTTGCAAATAGTCAATACTAAGAATAAGAACACCAATGATATGAAAATAGTGACACACAGCTGAAAACCTGGAAGACCGTATATTCCAATCAAACTACCAAATTCTCTAAGGAAATAAAAATTTTCTTCACCATGTTTCCCATCTCAATTTATTCCCACAGTTGCAAAATATTTATGCTGCAAGGACTGATTTAAGAAAGCATATCCTATTCCTGAAGGAAGCACTCCAAAACATTTAATTAGGTAAAAGGGAGAGAATTAAAAAAAGAGAATATGTATTGAGCAGAATGCCAGGGGCGGGGGGCGGCGGGGGGGAACCAAAGAAAGAAAAAAAGAAAAAAAATCAGGGTATCAATTCTGTTGGCCCACACTTGGATCTCATTTACCTCATTAAAGCTAATTGCAACTTATGGCCAGTTGTCATTTGTTCTCTTGGTAAGTTTATTTCAAAGAATTATACTTCAAGCAGTACAGAAACAAGTAAATTAGACAGAATTTGGGAACTTGAATATTTGACAAGATGAATACTTGACCATCCTATGCATATTTATGCGAAGTCTCCGTGCATTATATGGCGCTTACTCCCATGTTAGTGTGAACAGAATTACAGCCTAAAACTGTGGACAACTGCATTCTGCCTCTTCCCCAGTGGCAACATGTAATATCCAAGGGGACTGGAGACTTGATTTTCACTTGCATTTCCCACCTCAGGAATTCCACTGTGAAGCCCAGACTGAGTCTAACGCGGCCCTCCTCCACCACAACTCCCATCTTCTCTGACCACTGCCCATACTGGCTGGAAAATAATGGGCATTACGGTTCCAGGATTAGGTGAAGCTGCTGCTAAAGTGCCATTTTGGCTTGCAATGGAGCAATACCAAGTGATGAAACAGATTCTGCCAAACCTGGGCATTTTGCAGCTTTACAGTCATGGACCATAATTGGAGGCGAGAACGTTATATGGATGTCCACCTTCACGCTGCCATGATGCAAGGGCTTCAGCCTTGCCAACCTAGGGGTCCTCACAGCATCCCCAGCCACATACTCAGCTGGCTAAGGTTGATGGGAACTGAAGTTAAAAGCACCTAGAGCGCTTCAGGCTGGGAAGTCTGACCTAAAGTTTCAGTTCTGCAGTCATTTTATGGGGGGATTACATCCCACTGAAATTGCTGCCTAATGCTCAGCAGCGGACTTACTGTTTTGGGAAACATCAAAACAAAACTCTGTGAAATCAGCCTTTCCCAACTGCAAGTTCCATCATTCCCAGCCAGCAGGGCCAGTTCCAGTTCGGTAATTGGGAGGGTGCTAGGCTGGGAAAGGCTGCTTGGGACCTAACCGGTGCAGAAGAAAGTTCTCCTCTTCAGCCAGAAAGAACCATTGTAAGGGACTCCCAAGGACCATTCAACAATTTCCAGTTAATTCAGAATTCATGGCTGCAGCTTTGCTCACTGCACAGTGTCTGATCCTTGCCTGCGTTCAAGCATCGGCCACTCCTAAAAGCAGCCAGGGCAGGTCATTTCGTATAAGCTAGGAGAAAGCCAAGCGCTTGTAAGAAACTTGTCGGCGTTATCAGTATTCTGTCACCTCTCCGGTTGTATTGCGTGTGGAATTCTGGCACAGCAGTTCAAACCAGCTCGGCCAAGATGGCTTTGCAACTCCCATGATTTCTTCCCCAGCCACAACAGCTAAATATATATATTTTATTGTTAGCAAGATGTCATCTGATGATGTATGGGAATTACTCCGTGCCTTAAATTATACATGAGCTTGAAAGGAAATGCAGTTCCATAAATCAAGGCCTGGATTTTAGACCAGGAGTGGCTAAATTCTGTTTTTCTTTTGCTCCTAGGCTGCTCCATTCTCCAGACACTGGTCTGGGATGGGATGTGGGATTAGAAGAGGAGGCGGGAGAGAGAGAGAATGAGAGAGAGATTGTACCATTAAACTATAGGCAATGACCTGGCTCAAGTGGAATGACAAGCCAGAGTATGGGTCAAAAATGAGCTCTTGCTGCATCATAGGTTGTCATGATGGTTTAACGATGGGTTGTTTAGCACCAAGGACCCAGAATCCATTAATCAAAACAGGCCTGAGCTCTCTTCCAGGGTTTGTGGTTCATAATCCCAGGGCCAGATTCAGTGCTCTTCTAATCATGCTCAATGGAGAACTGCATGTCAACTTTTCTTACTCTTCTATAATCCCACACAGCCCTGATTTTATGAAGACCACAGTGATCTGGAAGGCTGTTTTCTCTTTTTAAAACAGGAAGAACAGGGGGAAGGTTAAACCTGCTGTGTCAGAGTGCTGTAGTCAGAATCTGGATTGGGGCCATGTGTGTTTATGCAAGGGTAAGGGAAACGATCACACCAAGCTATTCCATGGGAGAACATGGAGAAGACCACTTGCTGCCTCTCCTGGCTGGGGGATGCTGGGAACTGAGGGACCTTTTCTGTCTGAATTTGCTTAGGATTGCACCTGAACTTGGTGAACTAGAAACAAATGCGTTGGGGATGGGATCTGGAATGGAAACAGGAAAGGGACGGTCGGTCTATATAATTGCACTTTATCTCGTATGCATGGCAACAACTCTCCAAAGATCCAGGAAGGACATTCTGAGCTCCTTTCCTCAGGATCCTTTGGATGAGATGCTTGGCACAGAGCAGAGAAGCTTGAGTTTTGGGGGCACCCCTGAGCCACCCTGCACCCCTGGGCAACTGGCATTCAGTGGCATCTCACCTCCACATCTGCAGTGGGTTTAGCTGTTGTGGATCAGAGCGGGTGATAGGCCTCTCCTCTGGGAATTTGCCCAGTCTATTCACAAGCCCACATGCTGCCTACTGGCCATTTTATTCTCTGGCCGTCATGAGTTTCAGAAAATCGTTGCCTTCAGTCTGAGATTAGGAGGAGCTGAGCTGGCCAAGGGAGCAAGGGCTTTAGACCAAAAGGTCAAAGAAGGTTCCCAGGCAGCCTTTTGAAGTGGTGGGAAGGAAGCTTTGCCTGGAACAGGTTTAACTCACCCTGTTAAGGGGTCAAAGGCTCTGGAGTTTTCCCTTCCAAAGACTCTCTGACTTGGCGACCCATCTTTTTAGTGAGATGGAGGGTTTGCAGCTGGCAAGCGCTGAATAAATACAAGTTAATGATGCCACAGAAACGTTTTTCCTCATGAGAGAGAAAAGAGGATATCTGTTTCACACATGTAGGAGAATTAAGAAGCAATTAAGAGAGCCTTGTTACAAAGCCACAGGCATTCGTTTGGCTTGTCTGCCCACAAATGTCTTTGCTTTCATGTCGGGAATGGCCAGTGTGGCAACCGAGAGCTGCCTGTTCTGAGCACAGATGCCTCACTTCACAGTGTGCTACCAGCGCTATCACCACCGGTGTCCAAGGTGGGCATGGCTGGGTGCCCTGCTGCAGACATGCATCCCGGCAGCAGCCTTCCACCAGGAGCCCTTGGAGCTGCTCCTTCCCTTCCCCACCGCCACCAGCTTGTTCTGGGCCTCCTACTGCAGCCCAGCCAATGGTGGTGGTGGTGAAGAGAAGGAGATGTTAGAAGATGTCCATCTACTTTTGGGTTCTCTGCCTGTCAAGGAGCAGCAGGAAGGAGGAGGAGGAGGGGGAGGAATTACAGCAGGTGACAATGGTGATGCCAAAGCAGATCCCGGAGAGAGGATGTTTCTTGAGGGTGGCTTGCTCAAGCATTCTCCAAAACCTGGAGCCAACACTGATAGTTACAAGTTGGAGCACCTCCTTCATTACTGCAGATGGTAGAGGACTCTGGTCACGCAGGATAGCTGTTGGGTCCTTTCAGTCAGAAGAACTACAGATGAAAGTCAGAAGGACTTTCGGTCCAAGCTGAACACATTCAACCTGGCCAGCACTCACCTTTGGACTTGTTCTTTTTATTGATCTACTAAGTCCACCTTGATGGCTGCTCTTCTTAGTGACTCTCTGGAGAATTATTTGTGGAAAAACTTTAAGGAACCGACTCGCTCAGTATAAGAATTTCCCTGCTTGGTTTCCTGCAGAAAGTGCCTACTGTCAAGAAACACTCAAGACAGTTTCCTTTGCACTCATGGGGCTCTGCAGACCGTGGCTTCTAGTATGTGGGCACCTGACCAGGAGCAGAGAAAGTTCCCTGCTTTAGACATTAGGATGTCACCTGTAGCTCTTGTCCATTCTCCAAGAACCAGCAGGGCTCACTCTGTCAGTTCTCTGACAGATCCAGATTAGCTATCTGCCCTGCCCCTGCCGCATCCTATTCCAGCTCCCTATCTTAGGGAGAATGGAAACTCCCAAGGCAGTGGGGCCTCTCATCTTTTGGAGCTCGCGCTTCATAGGAGCATTGTAGGAGCTATCCATGGTCCTGAACTCCAGCTCCTCCAAGAGGTTCGCCACCTTGGAGCACTAGGGATAGCTCCTACCAAACTCAGAAGAAAAGCTGCAATGGATGAGAAGCCCCCGACACAGGAATTACCTGTCTTCCCTCATCCATTTGTAGGGTTAGATAGATAAGATCAAACAAAGGCTAACTTAATGGTCTTACCTGTTGGGAAGAGGTCTTTCTTAGCAGCCTGGGAAAAGAAAGAAAAAGGAAACCTATGTTAATGTTATATCTGACCAGAACAGTTGAATGAGGACAGCCAAGGTACATTTTGAGAAAGCTATCAAAGCAAATGTTAAACAAATAACAAGATGAGAGCAAAAATCGGCCTAGCTCCAGTGTTCTGTTTCCAGCAGTGGACAGCCAGAGCTCAGAAGCAGGGCAAAAAAGGGATTCCCCCCCCCCACACACACACACACACACTCCATTTATTTATTTATTTAAACAACTTATATGCCGCCCCATTTCAGGAGCCTCGGGGCGGCTTACAATCATAAAATCCTGCTTAAAATAAAAAAATCATCAAATAATTAAAATACATAAAATAAAATAGTGGACACTACCTGGTCAATTTAAAATAAACCATTAACAGTTAAAATAGTGTTTAAATAAAAAGGTCTTGGCCTGGCGCCGAAAAAAAATAAGGACGGTGCCAGGCGGACCTCTCTGGGGAGCGCATTCCATAGGTTGGGTGCCACCACAGAGAAGGCCCTCCTCCAGGTACTCACCCTCCTAATATCCTTTACGGAGGGTTCCCGGAGAAGGGCCTCTGATGCCGATCTCAGGGAGCGGGAGGGCATATATGGACACAGGCGCTCCTTTAGGTAACCAGGGCCTAAGCTGTTCAGGGTTTGTAGGTGATAACCAGCACCTTGAATTGGGCCCGGACTTCAGTGGGAAACCAGTGGAGCTGACGGAGGACTGGGGTTATATGAGAACAATGCCCAGTCCCCGTCAGCAGCCTGGCAGCTCTATTTTGCACCAATTGAAGTATCTGGACCATCTTCAAGGGCAGTCCCACGTAGAGCGTGTTGCAGAAGTCTAATCGGGAAGTAACCAATGCATGAGTCACTGTTGCCAGGCAGTAGTTCTCCAGGTAGGGATGCAGCTGATGGACCAGCTGAAGCTGAAGGAAAGCGCTCCTCACCACCTCTGTCACTTGAGCTTCCAACGATAGCTCTGGGTTGAGAAGCACTCCCAAGCTGTGGACCCTGTCCTTAAGAGGGAGTGCAACCCCATTCAGGACAAGGTCAAAGTCCCCCATCCCAAAGCCCAATCCACCTACCAACAGGACCTCCGTCTTGTCTGGATTGAGCTTCAGTTTATTGGCCCTCATCCAGCCCATTACCTCAGCCAGGCACCGGTTCAGTACAGCCACTGCCTCACCAGGATTGGTAGAAAATGAGAGGTAGAGCTGGGTATCATCAGCGTACTGATGATTCCGCAGCCCACACCTCCTAATGACCTTTCCCAGCAGTTTCATGTAGATGTTCAATAGCATGGGGGACAAGATGGACCCCTGAGGAACTCCATGGCATAGCTGCCATGGCACAGAGCCATAGTCTCCCAGCACCACCTTCTGGAATCAGCCATTGAGATAGGAGCAGAACCACTGCAAAGCAGTGCCCCCCAACTCCCAATCCCGCTAGCCTATCCAGAAGGATACCATGGTCAATGGTATCAAAAGCCGCTGAGAGGTCCAGGAGAACCAACAGGGACGCACTCCCCCTGTCCTTCTCCCTGCACAGGTCATCGTACAGGGCGACCAAGGCAGATTCAGTACCATACCCGGGTCTGAAGCCAGACTGAAATGGGTCCAGATAATCAGTTTCCTCCAAGAGTGCTTGGAGTTGTCCCGCCACCACCCGCTCCAACACCTTGCCCAGAAACGGGTTGTTGGCCACTGGTCTATAATTGGTGGCCATCTCTGGATCCAGGGAAACCTTCTTTAGGACAGGCCGGACTACCGCCTCCTTTAAAGGGGCAGGTACCTGGCCATCCCTTAGAGAGGCGTTGACAACCTCCAGGATTCAGGTCCCTATCCCGTCCTTGGCTGTCTTGAGTAGCCAAAATGGGCAAGGGTCCAATAAGCAGGTGGTGGAACGTACAGTACACCAATCATTCCTGCTTCTGAACATGGAAGCACCATTGTGCTGCTGACAGGTTGTGTTGTTGATAGGTTTCTGGAGGACAAACTGGTAAGGGTGGAATCCAATGCATATTTCAACTGGAAAAAAGTCCTTCCGGCTGGATGAGAAAGTGGGGAGCTTCTCCCCCGCTCCCTGAACATACATCAGTCTATTTAGTTTGTCCCAAACTGCTTTCTCTGCTTCCTTCAGCCTTCCCCTTTCCCCTCATGCCCTCTCTCCGGGGACAAGGTTGCCTATAAGTGAATAAACAGCTGTTCCCCAATGCACTAATAAGACTCTATAAATAATAGGTTTCATAGAAACAGCTTGAGCTAATAAACCCAAATTTCTGAATGGGCCATTCTATAGTGTTGCACCACTGTGACAAAAAAAGAAAAGGGAAAAAAAAGAGTCTGGTGGCTGGAGAAATGCCTTTAAAAAACCAATTAAATTTACAATTCCTGAGGGATGGAGAGCAGAGGGTTGGAGCAGAGCGGGACAAACAGGTTTGTATCCTGTCAGCTCCCCAGAGCCTGAAATGAGTAGAAATGGAAGTCTTTCTCACCCCTAGCCTTTGGCCCCTCTCTCTGCCCTGGAACTGAGCTCACAGAGAAAGATGGCACCATTAGATTAATTTCTGAACAAGCAGATTTTGCAGGTTTGGTAGCACTTTAAAAACCTACAAAAAAGGAAGGCAGAAAAAAGTGAGCAGGCACCCACTCTGGGAAGTACTGACTTTATTATCATGCAATGTACTGCTTAGATGAATTTTCATTGTTTGGCATATTGCACCTGTAATAAGATATAGAAATAAAAATTGCCTCTCAGACCTATTTGCATGTGAAGCAACCCCCATGTGGTGAAAGAAAAAGAGGAGAGAATTAATGAGGGCCTACAGAAGCGAATAACAAACAGCATCCGTTTGATGTGAGAACACGACATGAGTGATGCCACAAGATGGAAAGAAGGAGAGAAAATTAAAACCCTTTCTTGTTCCCTAGAAGTAACTTCATGCAGAAGGTTAGTACAGTTAGATTCAGGTTCAGCAACTCATTTAAGCCTGAACTAAAACAGGGTTTCTCCAGAGGGTTTAAAGTGCTTCTTTTTTTTATGGCCAGAAGAACCTGCGGTGCCTATGCATGCACATCTGCCTTTTCAATGTTTCTGGACAAACAGGTTCTGCAGGTTTTTACATGCTTCAGATATCAACAAACAAAGAAACCTGTGACACTTGTTTGATCAGGAGCAAACAGATGGGGACAAAACTGGATTTATATTAGGATTTGTTCTAAATGTCTTGCTGGTAACATTTCACACCAGTGGCACCAAGTCATGCCAAATGCCTGCAACTGGACATTCTCTTCTGGAGTTATGATGCACTGCAGTCCCAGGTATGTTTATTCAGCACTAAGCCCAGTGGTATTTGATTAATCTTATCCCCAAAATCACCCTTTTCAAAGCCTGTGCATATGCAAAAATGCCTAAATAAGAAAAGATGTTGGGTGCTGAATAGAGATAGACTTGGCAAGTAAGGTTCAGTGTGCCCACGCTGCTTTCACGAGAGGTCTAGGATCATGGAACAGGAGGGTTGGAAGGGGCCAGGAAGGCCACCAGGCCCAGCCCCCTGCTCAGTGCAGGACTCCCAGGTGAAGCATCCCGAACAGACGGCTGTCCAGCTGCACCTTGCATGCCTGCAGTGTGGGGGAGCCCACACCCTCCCTGGGCCACGGGTTCCATTGCTGTACAGCTCTGACAGTCAGGCAGATCTTCCAGATGTTCATCCGGAACCTGGCTCCTGATTTTATATATGTATCCCTAAAGCCAAGACGACTTAAAACTGGGTCTTCAACATTGACAGTGCTATCCTAGGCCGATCAGCTGAGTTCAGTGGGACTTACTCCCAGGTAAGCATGCATCACACTGGAGTGCTAATGCTACCAGCTGACGAAAACTGTTAGGGCACATACACTCAGGGTGTTGCAGGAATCCTGTGCAAGACAAGAGAATCCCAGAGGCAAAGGTTACCTCAGCATCCATCCTGCCCGCGAGCAACTCAGCAGCCAATTACAGCCTTCCGAGGACAAGACTGTGGAGCAGGAGAGGAAGCAGCAGAGGCACCTGCAGGACCCTTCTTATCTTGGCTGCAGCAGCCTCCCCTCCCCATCCCTCCTGAACACCCCCAGACACCTTCTCTGGCTCTTGTGACCTTGCAGATGCAGCCAGAGCAGTTTTCTCCCACGGGCTGCAAGACGGGAGGAGAGCGCATTCTCCAAGGACAGAGTCTCAGCTGCCTGTCCTAGGGGCACTCTGGGCACTGAGGTAGCAGATCACTCAGTGAACTGGCCAAACAAAAGGGGTGCCCTGGTTTTGTAGTCAGAAGAACTTTCACAAACAGTGCACTGCTTTTTCGGAGACTACTTCTTCATCCCATCCTTTTCTGGCAGCAAAGGAAAGGATGCCTCATTTAAGATGTTATGCAGCTATGCATCATCTAAGAGCAGGATGTTTTCTGGAAAAATCCCCCCCCCCATAGGTACATTTACTGCACAATCCTGAACATGCATAGTCAGAAGGAAACGCCCCTGATTTCAGTGGGCTCAGAATTGCAGCCTTAACCAATGAATAGATTGAATGAGTCAATGAAATGACGGTCCAGCACTAAAGGATGTGATTTATTTCCCTGGTTGCCCTGTTCAATCCAGCAGAGTGTCACTTCAGGAAGATGGGAACTGAACCGTGCACGCAGGGTTGGCCTCCTGAGCAAGCATGGTTGGGCATTTGCCAAGGTCCCCAACCCCAGCAGGGATCTGCAGGCAAGAGGCCACTGGAGTTCATCATCCCCTTTCCCTTGGGAGCCTGCTTGCTCTCCTGCAGGAGACCTGCTCCCTGGATCATTGCAGTAAGTTGCCCGCTGGCTCTCTGCCCATCAAGCAAGCATTGCCCAAGAGTGCAGCCAGCACCGTGTGCATGGAATGGACCTACAGTGCTCAGAGAAAGAGGCACACCAAGAACAATTCAGGCTTTCAAAGAAGAAAAGCAAAGTCTCCATCATAGTGTATCTGTATGTTTGGATGCAGAGCTTTTCCCCCATCACTGCACAGTCCACAAGTCTCAAACTGACCTAAAAGAGCGTGGGAGACTCCAGAGCCTGCAAAGCAGCCTGCGATGTTCCAAAACTGGGTTTTAATCCAGTTTATCTGAATGAGGAGTGGATTTTTGTGTTGCTCTTTTAATAAGCATTCATTGAAGAATGGGGAAAAGTTAAAGAGGGTCCGGTTGCAATGTTTCATTCATGCTTCTCAACCACAAGGAAAAAGGGTTCCAAACTATTTTAAGAAATGAGACATCCTGGTTCCTTCTGTGTCATCCCAACTTGGAGGCACAGTTGCTTCTTCACATCAGGTGTCCAAGAGCATGCGTAAGTTTTGTGAAGGATACAAAGAGATCCATTATTATTTGGGGAGAAACCTGAAGTTTTCCCCAGAGCATTTCACAAGGTAAGTCCCTTGCAGCCTGGAGAGTTCATGTTGCCAAGCTGGGACGGTCCCAGCATTTGCAACACTGGAGCACATTATTTTACTGATGAAAACACAGTTCCATAGCCCTTTGGCTTTGCTTTGATTTCACTTTCACAATCCCAAGGGCTACATCCTTTTCCATAAAGGGCATGAGCTAATGGGGAATTCTGCTGCATGTGCTCCAATCAATGGAAGCCATGGAGGGACTTGTTCAGAAGAACTTCGCACTTGGGTTGGATGCTGCAACTTTCAGAGAGAGATGAACCTCTTGCCATGTGGCCAAGGTTAAGCTCCTGCCTTTGTGTAGGGGTCCTTTCCTTCCCCTCCCCACAATAATATCAATCCGTATCCACCAGCTCTAGTCCCTGTAGGGCAGAATAACCCTCCCTTTCACACACAACTTTGCAGATCTTTTTGCTGTCTAAAATTGCCTGGAGTTGCATCTTAAGCAGCTCAAAGCCCAGCCTGCATCCTTCTGCTGCAGCAGATCTACCAAGAATCATGCAATTCAATACTCTTTCTCAAGCCAATCCATTACAAACACACACACAAGGAAAAGAGAAGAGAAGGCTATGTTAGCAAAAGGGAAAGTTGGAAACAAACAAAGTTCTTCTCTTACTGTACAAATTAAAACCTTAAGGCTGTTCAGGGCTGCCTTGCCAAGCAGTAATTCCATGCAGAAGCCAGGCGTGTGATCACACACAATCAGACCCACTGGGGTTCTCTCTGTGTGTGCGTGCGTCTCTAGGGTGGAGGAAGTGAATTTTAAAAAGCCACCAGGAAGAACAAAGTTTGGAAATGTGGGGGGGGGGGGACGCGCGAGGTAAAGGGAAGCTGTTTTCAGCCACCACCTCCCGTCCTGCAAATAAAGTAAGGATGATCAGGATGAAATTGGACGAGGAAATCCACGGGGAAGGCGTGGGCGGGCGGGTGTGCTGGGGCGCGCGCAGGGGGGGGAGGTCCTCTTGCCTTCTTGGGCGCCACTTACTTGCTCATCAGCAGAGGTCTTCCACTGCACCAAAGAGGCTGCCAGCAAGCAAAGTGACAGGAGAACCATCCCGATGTAAGTTCCTTGAAAGAAAGCAGCGGCGCGCGGGCGGGTGGTGGGGTGTTCTCTCGTGGACCCCGCTTTCAAACGGCACGACCTGCCCAGAGCCCTTGGGAGAGGGGGTGGCGGGAGCGTCGGCGGGGCTGCGCTGGGGCTGAGCGGGCGAGGGAGAACTCCCGATTTGAACTGGCGCTTCGCTCAGCCGCCGCCGGCGCGCTGCCTCCCAGCTCGCAGGCTCCGCTCTTTTGCCGGGCGGCTTCCTCGCGCAGGCGAGGCGGAGAGGAGGCAGCGGGGCTGAGCGAGGGGCGGGGAAAGCCGAGCGGGAGGAGGAGGAGAGGAGGAGGAGGAGGAGGGCTGCGGGCGACAGCTCCGGACCTGGCGGCGGCGAGTCGGCCCCTTTGGAACACCCGCCCGGGCGCAGGAGAGGGCGAGCGCGCACAGCCGCCGCTCGTCTCCGCGTAACCTGCCGCGCTCCCTAATAAAGCCGCCCCCGCCCGCCGGCCCGCCCGCCCTCCTTCCTCCACGCTCCACCTCTCGAGCCGGCGGCGTCAAGGAGACCCCCGCCCAGGGGCATCGCCCCCTGCGCGCTGCCGAGCGCGAGCATCCCTCCGCGCCGCTCCCCGCGCGCCCACGCGCGCCGACGGAGCGCCTGCGGGCGCCGCTGGACGCCAGGCGCACCGCGGCACCTCCCGGGCGGCCATGCCCCGCGCGCTCGGCGGGGAGGCGCGGCGCCGGGGTCGGCGGGAGCGCCCGCGGAGCCGGGACACGTGTCCGCCGCGTCCCCTCCGGGAAGCCGCCGCCAGCGCGGGCGGAGCGGGCATCTCCCGGAGCCTCCCCGAGCGCGGCTGGCCAGGTCCGCGCAGGACCGCGGCCGGGGGGGCCCGGGCAATTCGGCCGGGGCGGCGCGCTGTCTCCCTCTTCTCCGTGCTCGCGTCTCGCTGAAGTCTCGCTCGCCTGGCCCGTGTGCCCCCCCCCCCGCCCCGGTCCCTTTGCGGTCTGCGGGCTTCCCCATCCCACTGCCAGTTTCCCCGGGGAGCAGAGTGGAAGGACCAGAAATGAGGGTGGTAGAGGCTGCGCAGGATTCCCAGTCCCCCAGTCTGGGCAGTCAGACGGACGGGTCGTGTGCCTCCCATTCAGCATGGCTGCTGGTTAAAGAGTGCCAGACTGCGGGCCTGGGAGGTCCGGGCTCCGCTCCCCGCTCCGCCACGGAGCTTGCTGCGGGGCTTCAGGCCAGTCAAGGGCCCTCAGCCCAACCTCCCTCACAGGCAGGATGAAATGGAGCTCTGGAAAAAGGCGGGATGGACCTGCAATGCCCTCGTGCTAATCTTTCTTCCAAGAGCTCAGTGCGGCTCCTGGGGAATTTTCTGATCCTGGCCTCACATCGACCTCGAAGGCAGGTGAGGGTGGCCATCTCGCGAGGCCATCCAGTAAGCCTGGGGTGAGGACTGCGCCCAGCCTCCCTGGCCGAGAGGATGCTTGAACTGAGGTCCCCCTGATCTAGACCTCCCACCAGAGTAGTTCTTCAGCCTCCTCGGGCAGCGCCCCCCACCTTTCTGGACCCACAAGCTCATCAGGCTTGGGGGGAACTGCTGCAGCCCCTCTCACGGAGGACATGGTTGCTCACATCGTGGCCACCACAGGGTATGCTTGCTGGAAAGAGGCGTTTGTGGAGGGAGACATACTGACGCTGGGAAAGGGCTAGCAATAGCAAGACAAAGGGGTGGAGGGGAGAGGCAGAGTGAGGCCAGGAGGTGCGGGGGGGGGGGGGGGTTAGGGGCCGGGAGGGGAGGGAATAGCAGGATATAGGGGCGACTGGGAGGGGGTGAGCAACGCTAGGGGCTGGGAAGGGAGAGGAGGAGGAAAAGGAAGAAGGCTAGGTGTAGAGAAGGGGGAAGAATAATGAGGAAAGGAGCTGGAGGAGAGAAAAGGGAGGCTGGTGACTGAATGGAGAGAAACCGGTGAAGATAAAGGGGTGAGTGGAGAGAGAGCAAGGCTAGGGGCCAGGGAGGGAGAGGGAGAGGAAGAGGGGGAAGGCTAGATGTGGAGAAGGGAGAAAAATGGAGACTGGGAGTGGAGACAGGAGAGCAAGGGGGAAGCCTCTGCAAGGCAGAAGAACAGTGATGGGGCCAGGAAGCATCACTTTCCCTTGTGCCCCGTGAATCGCTAACTGATCAGTGGCAGAATCAGCCACAGGAAGGAGAACCTGGCACTCAATCTGCTCCATTTTTAAATCATCTTAAAGGGGTCAGGGCAGGAAGAGTTTTGGCGGTGTCATCAAGGGCACCATGGCCCTTAGGTGCTGCACTGGGGACTCCTGAGTGGTAGGACAGAGTGGAAGATGCAATTTGCATGCCAAACTCTCAGCGGCCCTTGCAGATCAAGTCCTCTTTCCCCTCCTTACTCCATTTCATTCTTCACTTGAGCATTTATATTTTGCCTCCCTATAGAAAAACCACTAAAGAAAAGCAGCCCAGGGGAGCGGGAAGCAAAAATCAGAAGCAGAGCAGAGAGAGGACACCTTTCCCAGCCTCACCTTCCCCTGCTCAAAAGCAAGGACACACAACACACCAGTCGCTTTACAACCCACCCTCTCAGGTTTAAGGTTTGTCTTTGCCTGAGGAAATGTGTCTTGGGGTTCTGGGTCCACTTTTAAGAAAGACTGACAAGCTGGAACGTGTCCCCAGTGAGGGGCTGGCCAGTGCAGAGGGGAGAGCTCTAGAAATCAGGCCGTGCAAGAAATGAAAAGCTGTCATACAGAAGAAAGGGCAGGCTTGAAGTGATCCCATATGCGGCCTTTATCCTGAAACCCCTCTGGGTCATTCATGGAATTTGAGGGGTTGGGGGAGCAATGAGGTTGCCTTCTACTTGTAATTAGGGGTGGATGCAAAGGACATTGTCTTGTTGACTTTTCTTTGTTGAATAAGAATGTACCAAAATGCATCTATTTCTTCCTAAACTGGGTTTGGGGGCGGGAGAAACTGGAGAGTATTAAAAATTGCATGTGGTAGAAAGCAAAACAGACAGATCAGTGTATCCAGGTGGAAGGCCTTTGAGAGCTTCAGTCTCAGAAGTCTGGTTTTGAATTGCTGTGCATTCATCCACATTTGCGGTGCTGCGTGTGGATGCCCCCACCCTTTCAGACCGGGCCCTCGTCTTGAAAAACTTCATGGCAGACACATATAACATGGCCTTCTCTATGTTAGGAAGCAGCTGTATGCATTTATTGAATGTGGTTGCTGCCAATTGGTGGGAAGGGTTTTTGGGGTCGGATCAGAAGAACTTACCCCAATTCATGCTTCTCTTTAGAAACAGGGTGGCAAGAAATGGAGAGAAAAAGCAAAGAACTCTGGATGTGGGGGAAAGCACCACTGGGCAATTTGTTCATTTCTGCTTGTTCCATTCCTGTGTTTTCCCACTGCCTCCTCTCCTCTCCTCTCCTCTCCTCTCCTCTCCTCTCCGAAAGGCAACCAGAAAGGAGGAAAAGGCAGAAGAGCTTGTCCTTTTGATCTGCGAGGAGTCATCTGTCCTTGCTCTCATTTGATCCAGAGGGCTGGCCTAGAACCAGCGGGTGGAAATGATGGAGAAGCAGATTTCTGCTAAACTTGAAAAGAAACGTAAGGTGAGAACTCATCAACAGAGGAAGACTTCCTTGGGATCCCATGCTGCCCTTTTCTGAGGTATTTAAGGGGCTGGAGAGGCACCTAACGTAGAAGCCATGGGTGCAGTCTCTCTCACAGATTCTGCAGTGGGGACTGGGCTGAACTGGGATCTGTCCTGCTCTGTAACTCCATGATTCTATGAAGGAGAGTCAAATGTGGTGTGGCAGCCCGTGGGCTGAGCTGGGGCTCCAGAGACCTGAGTTCTCATTCCCATTTGGCCGTAAAGCTCATTGGGTGACTTTTGGATGACTCCCAGCCTACACCACAGGGTTGTTGTGAGGATAAAATGGATAAGAGGATGACAGTGTGTGTCACCTTGAGTTCCTTGGAGGAAAGGCAGGATTTAAATTTTACAGATAAATTATGACATGGGGCAGGGGGGCAGTTTCCTGGCAAGGGCCATTCATACCGGAAAGGGTGTACACAGGGAAAGGATTAAGTAGTGCGCGCGCACACAGCCTCTCTGCCCCAAATTGCTGCTTCTCCAAGGTGATTTTCTTTTGAAGTTTATAGTTTGTAATTAATGCATTGTAGGTAATAATTACAGGCAACCTCCTTTTAGGTGCATATTCTTAATGAAACAATATATTTGAAAAACCCAATTTTCCATGCATTAGAAATAGCTGAGACTATTATATTACACCAGCCTGGCTTAATTGCTTTAAAAGATGCAGGCACTTCCAAGAGAGCATGAAATCAAGAAATTTGGTACCTTATTTCTGAATTCCAGAGTATCGAATGCGTGGCAGAAACTGAACAGCAATAAATGTGAAATTGAACTTTAAATCCAAACTAGTGGGCAAACACGTTAATTGCTTTTTAATTCCTTTCTCCCCCTTTTTTAAAAGGCAGCAAGCTCTGCCACTAAAGCTATGCAAAAGTCAGTGCAAAGCAAATGAATCAACTTGCAGCGGCCATATAAAATTACCCGGATTTTAAGAAGGCATTGTAGGGTCATGCAAACAGCTTAAACAAAAAAATCAGTTTAAACTGAATGAATGGCTAGATCACGTATGCATTAGAGAGGTGTTTCCATGGAAGACATTCTGTGCTCCCCATGTCCGACTTGTGAAAATTTCTACTTTCTCCTACACACATTCATTTCCACAGAGCACTTTATCAGCCCTCATTTCAGGCACCCATCAGGTATAGAGTGGTATACAAATGCTTACGTATATAAGTAAACCTATTCTTATGATCAAGGTGGGTGGAACAAGAGATTGCAATCAGTGAGGTCAGAGATAATTAAAGTGCAGAAAAGACAGAGGATGATGGTTACTTCTTAGGAAATGGACCACATTTTGAACAGGTTGGAATAGGCTGTCAAGCAAAGTTGAACTCACTCACTAGGTCCACCAACCATGGCTTTGAAGCCACCATAGCTTGGCATGTTGTCTGAACCCTCCAGTAGGGTGGCTTCTTCAGCTATGGCGCCATACATCCCACCAAGCCACTGAATCTGGGCGAAACAAGAAGCCCAGAGAAAGGCCAAACGTGGCAGACTGGGCTCCTCATTCTGACCGAGTGACTCCGATGACCCAAGGCCCCCAGTGATGCTTTGGGCAGCTGCCACCGCTCCCCTGCTGCACGCTATGTGCTCCTGCCACGGGCCCAACATCAACTCGAGACGCTTTTGCAGAAAAGCGCCTTTCCAGAAAAGTGGGCCAGCAAACCACCTTCCATATGACATCTACGAATTTGTCTTTCCCTGCTGGGACCTCATTGGAAAAGTCTTGCACCCTCCATGAACTTGTGCCTCCATCTTCCCTCGATTTCATTTCGAAAGGTTGCAGCACGAGTGTAAAAATAGCCCACCTCTCCGTGCCAAGAGCTTCCCATTTTGTAAGCATTTTTTAACACAAAGCTGCTGCAGAAGCCCAGAAGATAAAACGCTTCTCCTCAACTGCTAATGGATCAAAGGGCGTTTTAAACAGAGACAGCTGAAATGTGTGGACTGCTTCAGAGTCTTTCGTTATGAGGTGATGTACATCTGCTTAACCAGGAGAGAGGTAAGCATACTGCAGAGGGCTATTTTTGCTCTGGATACATTTTGCATTGTGGGCACCCATCCAGTGAATATTTTTACAGGCTCTTACTGGCTGGGATAGACGTACCCACAAGTCGGTCCATGAAGTCAATGATGAGGTGGATAGATTTGGGGGTTTTAAAACTCGTTTGCATGCTGCTGAAGTGAAGGCATCTCTGTGTCATCTCAGGAAATAAGCAAGCATAATGCAGGGCATTGCACTGCATGTCAGGGTGAACACAGACGAAACGTTTCATGTGGGAACGGGGTGGAGAATGCCTGGGACGCCCTAAAAATTCACCCTTGGCTTTCCACCGCAATGGCATCGTTTGCTGTGGTGGGAGAATGGGGTTTGCCTGAGTTCAGTGTGATTTACTCCACTCATAGCCTGGTTTGTCCCTTGTTCTCATTTGTCACCTGTTTTCTTTTCATTTGAATGCAGAAAGTGAGGCTTTCAATGAGAACAGTTTTCAAAAGTGCATACCTTCCCCCTCAAACTGAAGTGTCAAAGTGTGCACTGCTTCGAAAATGCTTCATTTTAAAGTTCACATATTTTTCTTTTTCCTCTTTAAACACAATCAGAGTTTTGGGAAATGGCAAACTTTTCTAAATGGTCCCATTCACATTTGAGATTGCAAAGTTAAACGATCTGCAGACAGATTTGACATTAGCCTACCTTCCTAGCAGTTTACTGGATTTGGTAGCCTGTGAGAGATTCTCTCTTTAATACAGGCTTTTAATGTTTTTATATTTTTGCTAAGACTTGGAAAGATATTTTACAGCACTTATGCAAATTAGGACAAGCAAGGCTGGTCCCCAGCCCTATTCTGCAGACCATCTTAATTTTCCCCACTTTTCCCTATTGTCATCTTTCTCACAGTGCAGCCCTGATATTCAAGGGCAATGGCTGGCAGGTCCATAGGAGAATGTTCGTGGTGGAACATAAATTTGCCATAGCTCATCAGGGAAGAGTGTCCTATGGGAAGGACCCTCATCCCAAGAAAAGAGCCTTTCTCATTAGGTGTCACTGCTTTTACTCTATGGAAAGCTAGAATCTATGTGCATTCCTGCATGAGACTGTTAACCCACTTTATCTACTTAGGTTTGGCTGCAAAATTGAGATCCTAGCTCTAGCCAAAGAATATTTCCTTTCCTGCTTTTCTGCGGCGTAACCTCTAGGTGGCACTGTGATATAACAGAATAGCACAATTACATCCACTGGAAACAGTGCTTCCTTTCGTTTTGGTACCATGTTTTCCTACTGAAACAAACAAACTGCTGAAATACTTTTTAAAAGAAAAGTGAAAGTAAGTGAACTCAAAGAATCTTGAGTGTGCAATAAATGCCTCAAGTAGAAAAGTTATGTAAATCAAATGCTGATCAGAAAAATTTTTGGAGCCAACAAGATATTCTGTAGGGGCTGGGAGATGTGGCTCATGGCATAAGGGAAGGGTGTCCTGCTCCCTTAGACCCTCCCCCCTTGCACCTGCTAATCAGACTACAAAAGAAGTCTTCCTGACCCCAAAGAGAGCTTTCCTCCAACTGGAGACAGCAAAGCATGTGTGGGTCTCATCCAGACTGCAGTAAGGAAAAGAGTAAAAGATGCCATCTTTTAATTTTGTAATTTTAAAAATGCAGCAAACCAGAGCAAAGCACATGCACAAATGTTGCATCAAATTGGGACCTTGGCGTTTCTCAAGCCTGGGGATCTTGTGACCAGTCAAGCCAAACACGACCCACCAAGACAAATTATGAGAATGTACAAGATGTTGGGCAACTTCCCTGCTTTTGCTGAGCCAGGCAGAAGAAGAAACGGAACGGCTACGAAGTTCTCCTCTCTTCCACCTTCCAGTGCGCTGCCCTGTGCATGTATTCTGCACTATGGGACATCACTCCTTTCCCTATGTGTAGACCATTGCTACATGTTCTAAGTCGGGTGGTGTGAAGAACATCCAAAGGCTTTGATGGTTGGAACATGCAGCAGATGGGCTGCTAAGGGTGCTGGGTATTGGTATCACATCGCCCACATATTGAAAGATCTGTGATTGGGCTCCATCCACGGTGCTGCTTCGAACTTTTAAAGTTCTAAATGCTTTGCAGTTGAGCTGTCAGAAGAACAGCCTATCCTGATCATCAGGATACACACTTTTCATCTCACTTTTCATCTCAGCTTTCAAAGTTATTATGACATTATGCGATAAATACCTCATAGGCTGTCACAAAGAAGATCAAGATCTCCTCTTGCTGGTGCCAGAGTGTAGGACATGGAATAATCAGGTCAAGTTGCGACAACCCGGATTCAGGCTGGGCATCAGGGAGAGCTTCCTCACCATCAGAGCAATAGGACAGTGGAACCGGCTGCCTGGAGGGGTGGGGGCTCTCCCACACTGGAGGCATTCAGAAAGGAACTGGACAGCTCTCTGAGTGGGATGGTATCTTGGTGTCTTGTAACAGCACAGGGTTGGACCCGATGGCCTTCTTGGGCCCTTCCAATTCTATTGTTCTATGACTCTATGGTCCTTAAAGGGGTGTGTGTGTGAGAAACTTCATCATAGCTAATATTTTCCAAAATCATTGTAAACTAGTTAGGTTCAGGAAGGCAGCATAGAAATGCTATCAGTGATAATATACAAAAACGGATGGTGTTACATAACCTAAACAAGTTCTAATGCACAATTTCTTATCTTCATAGTTTCAACAGGTAACCATGAAAAACTTTCCTGCTTGTACCTTTGCTCAATAAAGCCCTTTTGCTTTCTCTTTGCTACAGTTGCTCAAGGTGTGAAGATCCATTCATTTGGCTCCATTCTTTGGAAAGAGGGATGTCTGAGAAATCTATTTCAGTCCATTCTTCTCTGAATTTACTCCGTTCACATCCTTCAGACTGAGTGTGGATGTGAACTCAGTCTGTGGGCAAGCCACAAATTTCTGGGCATTCAGTGTGATTCATGGACCCAAGGAAGTGTGTTTATTTGAAAAATGCACATGCACAATTCATGCTTTTGCTAAATGCACACAAATACATTAATCAACCAAAGAACACACTCATTTCAAAGACCCATGTAACTGATGCATACATTTGGTAAAATACACATGAAAATGTGAATGGATGGATTTTTATGCAAAAGAAAAAATAAAAGCTCTTAATCTGATGTGGATTCAAGTCAGAACAAGCTTCAAGATGGAATTTGGAGAATATCCATGAACTTGGGTTTTGCTGATTCACACAGTCCTAAGGGCCAAAGAATGCAAAAGACCCTAGGCAGAAGAATCTGGCAGTCACAATTACTTTGGCAGAATTCTGGAACGTCTGGAAGCAATTGTTTATAAGGGATCACACTGAATGTTTACTCTTTCATGGGGAATTGCTCAGTTAAAGATTTAGGAAGTCATCAAGGATTAGCAAATAGACATCATTTGTTGGTGGACCACTGTTCATTTAAGAGGGAATAAGAACATGTGTCCACCTAACCCTTAATTCAGAACAGCTGTTCAACAAATATACACACTGCACACATGTAAAAGTGAGATCTCACCGCCTGTTGAACTACTAATCTTCAGAAGAAGATGGGACAATACTTCTGAAGAATCAGAAGGACATGCAATTTTGCATGCAATTTAAAAATGTGTAGCATAGAGCCTAATCATCATCTCATCATCATCATCATCATCATCACTACCACCACCACCACAATCATCCCCTCCTGTAGAATAATATGAACCAGACTCCCCCAATCAGTACTTTCCAGCCACTTTTGGCTACAACTCCCAGCATCCCTGTTTGACATTCCAGCTTTTCTTTGGTCCCACCTGCACCCCCGGTTCACCTGCCTCTCCACCTTCAGCATCCAGGGCTCCCAGGAACAGCTGGGCACGCTCAGCCTGCACTCAGCTGGTGCCTCTCGTTGCTGGGTCGGTTTGTGCTTGGCTGTTGGCTGCCATGTTCCTGAATAAAGATACGGCACCTGCCACAAAACTGTTGTGGAGGGATGGCTCTGCAGTGGGCTGGCAGCACAAATGGCTTGTGTGATGATATTGCCTGCTGGGCTCCCTACTTACAGCTTCTGGGGCTTCCTTGGGCTCTGGAGTCCAAGCTCCTGTAATTACACCAAGGCAGGCTTGGGGCACTCACCAAAACCAAGCCCCTTCCTTTGCCAATCAGCGCCATTCCTCTGTGCCCAACGCTGCCACTGGGAACAGCGATGGGGAAGAAGGTTGGCCACTGGGAGGAGCAGGTGGGGAAGGTTGCTGGTTGGGGAGCATTCACAGACGTCCTCTTGGTTCGGCTTGCTTTAGGGCTGCCTGCCATGAAACCTGAGTTCTCCACTCCCCAATACTTAAAGAACTCCTCCAGCCCACCAAGAATTGTGGGGTTGTACCCTTCCCTTTTGATCCTATTCCATCACCCAGGAATGCACTGACAGGTGCAACATTCCACATAGTGCTAGTACTGAACAGGTGACCCACCAGCTATTGCCACAACAACTTAAGCAATGCTCCTGGTTCTTCACTGGAGGGCTGGCGGGAAATTAATAGGTAGTGCATCTCTGGAAAACACCATCTCTGGAGAGGTACCTCTGCTCTCTATTTTCTGGGATATTGAAAAAGCGAGTGAGGTGGTGGAGCTACACGCATTTGGCTTTTCCCTGCTTATCAGCTCCTGCCTCGTGTGTCGAGCGGGTGACTTGGGGAAAGTAACACCACAGGGGAAAATTTAAACCTCCCTACAGTATGGCGCTGATCCAGAGCAGGTCTTGCATGGTTCCTTTCAGGTAACATAACACCATGAGGGACAGCTGCGCACGAGGCCGTTAACGTGACCTGGAGTATGACCCTGAGTCACAAGGATAAGGGAGTCACCCAGCAGGACGCTCACCTGCAGAGTGACCCAAATCATAAAAGCGCAAGATGAACCCTACTGCATCCAAGAGTGCCCACCCAGTCCAGCCTTCTGTCCACACGGTCTCCAAGCAGCTGCCTGTAGGAAACCCACAAGCAGGATGGGAGTGCAGCAGGACCCTCCATGTTCACCCGCAACTGGTGTGTCTAGGCATCCTGACTTTGATACTGCAGGTAGCATAATTCCAACAGACTAGAAACCTCCGGCAGCCTGTTCCACACCTTCTCATCTAGGTTGGTGTTTCTCAGTACATTACATGCTCCTCAATTCCATAGTTTTGCATATGAGCAGTACTTCTTTTTGTCTGCCCTGGATGCTGCCATCCAGCTTCTATAAATAATCCCAGGATCTATTATTGTAAGAGAAACTGAAAGGTGTGTTCCTGTCTACCTTCTCCCACACTGGAGACATTCGAAAAGAAACTGGACAGCCATCTGAGTGGGATGGTATAACTTGGTATCCTGCAGAAGCAGGAGGTTGGACCCGATGGCCTTCATGGCCCCTTCCAACCCTATGATTCCATGATTCTCCACACCATGCATAATTGGCACACCTGTATCAAAGTGGGCATTTGACAATCTTGGGGAATTGAGGAAGTTGAGGCAGACGAAAGATGATTGGCAACTACATATGGGCTTCCACTGCTTCAGTCATTAGCTGAGGTGTTCAAGGATTGAGACAAGGGGTGGGTTGATTTGCTTCCATTATTCCTTAACCCAGGAGTGGCAGGCTGGTCCCTCCAGATGTTTTGGCCTACAACTCCTTGACCATGAGTATGCTGGCTAGGGCTGATGGAAGTTAGGTTACAGGCCAAAATATCTGGAAGGCTACAAGTTGCCCACCCAACTAGGGAACTCCAAACCATGGGGGAAATCTGTCATTAACGGCTGTTGAAAGCTCACAGTGGAATCAGTTCCAAGTATCATGAAGGTGATTCAGGCAGTTTTGTCAGGAGTCTTTGGGGAAATGAACTTTGTGCGGCTTAGCAGGCTTTGAAATGGAGGTCAGGGAGAAGATTGGAAAGACCAAGTTGTCTTATTCCACCCACTCAAATGGTGCCATATCGCTCAGTCCCAGTTCAGACAATTGCATGTGCTGATGGAATATCTGAGACACACACTTCAATCCATGTCCCTTGAGGGCACCAGAGAATGATCCAGTTCTGGCTAAGTCATTCAGTTAGCACTACTTCTTCAACTTCCATGAGCTAAGTTAGCTAATGATCTCATGTTTGGTTGTGGGATGGTTTGAAGACTAAGAATTTTGCTTAATTTGGAAGGTTCTGTGGTTTAACCTTTAAAATACTACTTTATGGACTTTGCCAGTAACTACTACTGTCCTTTCAAAACAGGCAAACTATGTGGTCTTCTGATCTGGTTCTGTCCAAGTCAAGGCAGAATGTTTTCCCATCTTTTATCAAATTAAACACCAGGTCCTGCTTTTTTGACATTTCACTTTCAAGTTTTAACCACTAACTACTCTTATGATGTCTAGCCATCTGACGTTAAGGTCCTTATCCACACTGTTCACTGCATGTCTTCATTTAAAGTAAAAACAAAACAAACCCTTACTAAAGAGTAATCTGTTTTCATAAGTTGTACACTTAGTAATGCATCATTCCCGCAACAACCACAGAAGTGCAGTGAATACTTGTTAAATGTGCGATGGTGTTATCGGTGTTCCAAAATGTCAGTTAACATTCTTAGATTCTAAATTAATCCTTCTGTTCCCCTGTTTTTTTTTCTTTTTTATTACTATCATGCTTGGAGATTTGATTAACTTGGGGGCGCAATTGAACCTAGACTACACAAGGCCATGAGACTCCCAGAGCAAAGAGTACACCTGGAACATAAGGAGATGAAAGAACTTGGTCATGAAGACAAGTCTCCTGGTTGTGGACATGGTGGCTTGGATTCTAGGAACCCATAACTGAAGGGAATTCATGGAAGGAGACTTTCCTGCCCTCTCCTCCATCTTTCTGCCAAAGCTATGTGATCTTCTAAAATCTCTTCCTTCTACACAATATGAAATGTGTGGTTAGTGCAGTGGTAGATGTTGAAGTTTAGTGCTCATCTTGACAGTTCTCCAAGGAGAGTAAAGAAACACAGGTATTGATATTGATCCATATCTATCTGCCTGTGCGCCCGCCCGCCCATCCATCTTCTCAGTCTGTCACTGGCTCTCTGTGTATATATTATCTAAGTGTGCACTGGATATCTCAGCTATAAAGCCTGGAAAGCACCCCTTTCAGTCCTACTATTGTAAGGTTTGCAGCTAAGATGGGAGGAACAGAGAAGCCAAGGAGACAGATGCGACCAGCATCTCCTGCCATTTCAGTCCTAGGAGCTCCGGTCCCACTGGTTCCCTCTGATTCCAGCAGGGTTAGGATGTTAGATTGAAATGTTTTATGCCTATGGGGTGGTTTGAACCAACTGTCTTCTGAGTGTGTTTGAAAGAAGAATGGAACATTTTCTGTACAAAAATAAGCCCTGATGAAAATAGCAAACAAAACAAAACAAACCTCTTTGGCTTGTGGTGGGACTCCCAAACTCAGTCCCAGGGGAGGCCAGAGACTCCTTCCTGGTTGGATCTCAGAGGTCCTTGCAAAATAAAAGTACTTCCTGCACAAAATACCAACGGGAAGCTTTATTATCTTGCACGCAAGTGGTTAATGCCATTTGGAGATAGTAACAAGAAAACAGTTGCAGTCTAACATGCTGTATACACTTTTGGCAGCCCTCCTTGGTGAATTGGTTTAAAATCCTGGAAGCATAAAGGGCATTTACATTTGCATTAGCAAACTTTCATTTTCTGCTTGTTCCACACATTATAATCAAGAAAACTTCCTGACTTCCTATCTGTCAGGATCCAATAACCATTTACACACTGTGACCTTTTCTTTGTTCAGGCCCAGCCTCTCTTGTTAACATTTCAGGCTCTATCTTGCGAGTAGGAGTTTTCTCTGTGTGTATCCAGGGAAACTGAATAGCTGTGCAGCTTGCCAAGCCCTGCTATAGCATCTCTAAGAGCACTTTGGAGAAACTGTCTGTTTGGGCGATCTCCTCCCAACAGTATCCGAGCACCAAGTGAGTGATGATGTTGAGGCTCCCACAGAAAGTGCCACCACTACTGCTTTGGAGAGCCAGTGGCAAAGGAG